TCATGTTTATGACAGTGTCATGACAGTCTTATTCAACCCCCTTCAAATAAAGTGTTACCAGCATTGTTAATAACTACTTACTGCAAAACTATATCTGCCTTAGACTTTGTGAACAGCAGGGGATATTTTACATTTAGTAAAATTAGACATGACGTGGCTTGTAACCGGCAGGTGATACTGACCAGTAAACGCTTCCTTCTCTGGAAAAACTAGTCTCACTTTCACCTGAATGTGACGCAGAAGAACCATCTCCCTAAAGATCTCGTCAAAAAATTGCAGGTAAGAAATTGTTTTTCCTCTTTGACTCGGTAGAATCAGCTGCAGGAAGGTTCTTTTCACCAGAACCAGCTAAACTTCACAGCTCTCTGCAATATTAGAGAGGAAACTGCGGCCCGTCCAGATGATGTTCCGAGACCTTGAAATAAACATTGCTTTTCTACGTTGTAAAGGTGTAATATTGAATATATAATAACAACACTAATAATAATAAGTGTTGTTATTAACATTTGAATTAAATTAATTCCAACGTTAATCCAAAATCTTGAAGATATGTTTCATCAGTAGATAAATAAGTTTATTGTTTTATCAAAGGAATTAAGAAATAAAGATGAAATGTTATAGATCTAGTGTAGAAAATTATTCACTAAATCTATTGAATATTTTTTTTAGAAAGATTAATTAATTTCACAGAAAGCGAATCAACAGAAACAAGTACCTATCTTTGTTCAGTGTTTTTATAAGAGGACATTATTTTCAGGAAGAGGAAGTTAGAGGTCGGCCCGTTCTGAATAAACCTGAATGTGGTTTGTGATAAATAGAGAAGCAGGATAACAGGTTGGGAGAAGTGCTTTTTTAAAACTGTAAAAACTGGATCCTCTTCAAATGTGTTGTTTTTAAACCCTGAATTCAGTTTTAGTTTGTTTTCATTGTTATTAGAAATGATTGAGATGTTTGTTAAACTCGTCCCACCAGCAGAGGTCCAAAGTGACTCAGACAGAAACATAATCTGATGGAAACACTGATGAGCTTCAGCTGAATTATCATAAATGTGTTGAGGTGCAGCTTGTTGACACTATCTGTGTTTCCTCCTCAGATGAAGGTCAAAGGTCAGATCTAAACACAGCAGCATGGACCAACATGAAGACGAGGAGGACAGAGTCCCTCCCTCTAAAGCCGCTCACAGTGGGGAATATGATGACCAGAGTAAAGTTCAGAGGTCAGATCACCATCTCTGACTGTCCAGGACTCTTCTCCATGACAGAGTTCAGCACTTTAATCACTAAACCATCTTTATTCACAGGAAACCACCAGAACCAGAACCAGAACCTGGTAAATCAGTCCAGCTTTCAGCATCAAAGAGGTGAGCTGAATCTAACTGTCCCAGTTTCGTAACATGTAAAATTTGTAATCTTCCCCCATCACAAAGGTGAATTCATTATAAGTATCAACTTGAAATTCACAGGAAACTACTAGAACCAGAACCTGAACCTGGACCCAGCTGTGTGTCTTTACAGAGTGACAGTTCAAGATATCAGATTATAGATTTTAAATCAGATGAACCTCCAGCAGCAAAGAGGTGAGTTCAATATAAATATCCTAATTTTGTAAAATGTACTTAATTATTTTCCCCTCAAGTCAAATCTTAAAGATGAGATGACTATAAGTGTCAACTTCACAGGAAACTACCAGAACCAGAACCTGGACCTGGACCCAGCTGTGTGTCTTTACAGAGTGACAGTTCAAGATATCAGATTATAGATTTTCAATCAGAGGAACCTTTATCAGCAAACAGGTGAGATGGATAGAAATGTTTTAATTCTAAATTAAATTGCAATTTAATCAACTGAAAATGTTTTTTGTTCCTGCTGAAATCTCAAAGGTGAGGTTGGTATGAGCATCATTGTTGTTCACAGGAAGTTATCAGAACCAGAAGTCAGTTGTCCTTAAAGAGCTGCGGCTGGAAGAACGTTCTTATTTAATGTAACTTAGATTTACTTTGGTTGGACAGGTCTGTGTTGTAATTTAGAAACAGTTCTGAATGATATTATCTGGTGAAATAATACAAATTTAATGTAGTTTATGTTTAAATTGGCTTTATTATTAAAAAAAAAAGGTAAATTAGCTGCTGTGGATCAGGTAGAAATAGTTGAAGTCATTCCTCCACCAACATGTCAGTGATCTCAGGAACTAAAATCTCATGTCATCTATGATTAAACTCAGTGTGAGTGTTTATGATAAAAGTCAAATCTGACTTGTTTAAGTGTTTTCATTGGTCGATATATAATGGTGGATAAAGGTGAGTTATTTAGCTCCCCAACTCCTGTGAAGATGAGACGTTCAGGACCCTCCTGATTTATTTTAGGAAATGCTAAATGCTTTTGAAAATAATCATTAAAGTAACTGGATTTCTTCCTTGGTGTAGTAATTAGTTTCTAATTATTTCCTAATAACCAACAATGCTCTCCAGGACTCGTCCTCATCTCAGTTTCACATCATCAAAGCCTCTTTATTCACAGGAAACCTGAATCTGGACCTGAACACAAGTCTTTAAAGAGGGATGATTCAAAGGAAGCTGCTTTTAATTTTAATTCATCTGATGAAGCAGCAGCAGAGAGGTGAGCAATACATAACTATTGAT